AGGGGAGCGAGATGAAGAGGAGGGGAGAATTTTAGGAGACGGGGGGGATTCTAGGGTAAGGATTATCTAGAGGAGAGATTGTTTCTCAGAGGGGATGAGACGAGAGGAGAGGAACTGTACGAGGGAAGAGGGGGGAGGGGGGCAATTCTAAGTGAGGTGGGGGGGGGGGGGGGGGGGGGGGGGGGGGGGGGGGGGGGGGGGGGGGGGGGGGGTAAGGGGGGGGTATTAGGAGGCGAGAGGTCTATGGGGAGCGGAGGGGAAGGGAGAAGCGGAAAGGGACGGAGAGGAGAAGGGTGGAGTCAAGGAGCTGGGAACGGTGGGCTGGTTCTTTCTAAAACAAGAAAGGTTCTAGAGAGAACTGTTTCTTTCTAAAACAGGAAACATTCCAGTGTACCAACGACGAGACAGTTTGTCCTTTTCTTATACAAGAAGAACAAAACCTTTTCCTTTTCTCCTTTTTCTTTTTTTTTTCTCTTTTAGTTTTTCTCTTTGTGAAAGCGAGTCACTCTTGAGATATATCTACAGGTGACCGGCCTCAGAAAATTACTAATTGGTGATTATTATCGAGGTTATTTTAGATTATATATTATGCCATGATTATTGGTTCTCGTTCTTTTTTTTTTCATCAATCAATTCGTTTATGACAGGTATGTTGAGACTTCAAGCCCTCCTCTTGAAACCCTAAAAAAACTCACAAAAGACAGAAAGACGAAGAAAACAGAGGAATCCCTCCTCCTCCTCCTCGAGAATGAATATAGCCGGTTTCTCACAAAATCCCCTCCTCCTCCTCCTCCTCTTCTCCAATCTCGTCAGCAATAACAGAACTTAAAAGAATAAGACGAAGAAGCAGCGACATCAAATCCCGATCGCAATGATTACAACTCAAAATCCAAAGACCAAAACAATGACGTCAACATAAAACCAAAGCACCTACCGTCTCCACCTGAATAGAACGCCCGGTTCAATATTATACCTGTATGAAGACCGAAAGTTGCACCTAATGCAGCATTAATGACCGGTTAATGACCGGTCTTGCCATTCGGTCGAAGACGGTCGATCAGATGGTACACGCATGAACTGATCGAATATTGAAAAATAAAGACCTGAGTAATAACGCAATGAACTGATAGCACATTCAAAAATACAGATACAGAAGGTCAACATAAAACCGCAACAAAAACTTGTAACCATTTCCTTTTTCTTTTTTTTTAATTACATTATAATAATACTATATTCTTCTCTCAAATTCTTTAATCTTTCACGACCTACCTACCACTACTCCACAAGCTATAGAGGGGATCCCTGCAAGCATAGCGATCTACCTCTCTCGGTGAAAAGGGAGGCGACCTCTCTCGGTGGAGGGAGTTAATTGCATCTTGGCCCTTTGCCCTAGTGGTTTAGGGTGCAGGATAGGGGGAGCCGGTGGGGGCCCGGTCCACACAAGGACCGAGCATTTGTCAGGAGCTGCCGCTCCCTTTTCATCTCCCTCCCCC